CCATGCGCGGCCGCTGATTGGCCCAACGCACACGACTGGTGTCAAACAAGGCAGGTTGATCGCCTGCAGCGCTGCCCTTGCCGGGAACAGCAGGCGGTTTGGCGCTCTCGCATGAGCTTGGCCGTCCCCAGTCGGGGTGAAACAGCCACATGGGCAGATCCTCCCAGCGGCCCAATTCCAGAGAGGGGACAGCTCGACCACAACCCGCGGACGGGAATAGAGGAGAAGCCGCATGCATGCATCTGGGACGCATCTTGGGTCTGTGCCAGTCCCCTATTTCTCCCGAAAATATCCGTATTTGCCAGCAAAATCCAAAACCACTATGCACAAGGGCGCAAATCTGTCGCCATGGGGAGCTTGGAATACAGAGACTGTTTGGTTTGGACGCCCGCCCAACTTAAGAGCCTGCCATGGAACTGCCCGTTATCACGCAATCACTATGTGGCAGCCGGTGGGGTAGGTTGCCGTGTGATTTGAGCTGCCGATTGCAGCAACACCCGTTGGCATGGCAAATGCAACCGGGGTTCTGGGCCCCGTTTCTCCCCCGTTCCCCATTCCCATCGCCGTCTCGACTGCCACTCTCTCCCAGGAATTTTCGACTTGGCTAGACCGGCCCAAGACGATGCAGGCCATTCCATCTATTGATCATGAATCCGTCCGCTTCTATCAAACAGGCAGGTCTTCCTGGTCGGGCCTGGACTCGCTTGCCATGTATGGTGCATCCATCCCCCCTTCACCCGTCGATAGTCCTTTCGAACACCATCCTGCAGTCTCGCAGGTTGTCAGCAGCGGACCGACAGATGGCCCGGATGTACTCTGTACTCCCCCCCATCTTTCAATATCCAGGTCTCTGCTATATGGGATCCCCGCAGGGGGTGGCCATGATGTTGTGCCGCATGCCATGCATCTCGTCCCGGCGTCCCCCTCCGCGATCTGGACACGGCTTGACATGTCTCAGACCGTCCCGCGGGCTGCAACGGCTATGGGCAACGCGTGGGGGGCGTAACCATCGGGGATAGTCCACCCATGTTCGTGCGGTGCTGCTGCTGCGTGCTTCGAGATGCTATGTATTATCTCGCACCATCTCCTGTTCCACCACCCCATCCCTCGTATATGCTTTCCCCTCCCGGTTTCTCGCCGGGGCACCCGAACTATTGGAACGAACGCGTGCCCAACAGACTCTCGCCGCTGTTGTTTCGTCCTCGGGTCGCCAACTTGTCGTGTGAGCTGCCCGCATTCCCGACAAACCACAGCCACCTGCCAATCCCGGCATGGGGGCAAACGGCCATCATTGGGACCAATCACACGCCCCATCCTCGCGCGGTCCCGAGATGCTGCCTGTTATCAGAAGTGCCGAGAAGCGCAAGAATAAATCACTTATCATGGCCGCCGTCCACAGAGGATCCCGTGGCCACCCTGAATTTTCCGTGGTTTGAAGTTGGATGCTCTCGGAGAATCGCAGATATCATGCTGACTGACGCCCGACTCATCAGCCCATGCAGACTCTCCCCAGACCGGAATCCTGGGGTTGCCCATGGTGGATTCCGCGATTCCCACCACGCCAATACCGGACAAGCGCCGCCAAGCCACAAAAGCTTGTCTCCTGCCATTCCTGCACCAGCGCCCATCCTGGGACGCTACCCACGCTAGCGCCGGTCCACCTACCCGCGCTAACATGCTCGAATCCTCCGCCCTGGGCCGTCGCCGGGTTGGAGCTGACGCATTCGTCACCTTGGCGAGAACGAGATGGATTTTTGCCCGTTGTTGCCATAGGCGCGTGGTTCCGTGCCGAGGTCGAGGGGCAAGAAAAACTCTCCGGACCGTAATAGGAATTTACAATCGAGCGATGCTGAAGCCGCGGAGGAGGGACCAGAGGCTGTCCGCGCGCCCCTCGTGTCGGTTCTGGGGTGGAGCCAGGATGCTCGTGATTCAATTACCGGATTCGGAAGTCTGGTTGCTGCACCTCAACGACACTCCACCCAGCGCGGCTGCAGTTCGCCATCCATCGGACCACCAACGTCCGAAACCGCAAGATTCAGGGGATATGGTTGTGTGAATGACGCGTCTCGGCAGAGAAACTCCAGGCAATGGTTTCAAGAGCTTGAGGAAACCGTCTTCGCCGCTAAACACGGGGTTGTGTAAGAAGACCTTCAAGTCAGACCTGATGATTTGCAGTCCCTGAAAGCCATAGGTACCCAGTAAAAGAGTCTGAGTTCAATTTTTTCAAATTTCTGTCACTGTGCAGTTAGGGGACACGAACACAAATAATCATTATTGGTTGGCGATGGCAACGAAAGCTGCACTACACTCTTTTGACAGTATCGCAGTATTAAACCAGCTGTACGTTCCAGAGATCACAGGACCAGTCAGGTTTATGCAGGCAGACCGGAGTTGCACTGTATGATCAGTTTAACTTTATTGTATTGAGTCACATGTGTCAAGATCAACGCCGCCAGGTCGGCCCAGGGGAAATGATGCCTGAGACTGACTGTGAGTGGTAAACAACCCCCCCACCGCGAGCGTCCAGATCCTGACATCTCCACCAGGACGACTCGAATTCAAAGTTTTGGTCCCACGTCTCCTCCTTAAACTGCAGAGGAAGCTATCATTGGCTGAGGGAGGAGACCGAATTTCTCGCGGGATGGAATCGAAGAGAGGTCGGCGTCGCTCTTTCTACCCATCCAGGACGCCCAGATGTCCATGTGGCAGGCACGGCGATGCCAGCTCAGACGGCCGCCTGACAGATGTGACTGAGCCGAGTCCTGCTCTTTCCCAAAATCCCATCCGTTCTTGCTTTGGCGGCCACTCAAATGATCACGCGAGGTTCACTGCCTTGGCCGACTCTCCTCGCCCATTTTTTCGACACCAGGCACACACAGTCCCACTCCTGCATCTCCCACACGCTCAACACCGTCGGCCGCAGTGTGATCAGTGCGGAGGCTTCCCAGAACGCTCAACAGCCTTCGGCCAGCCCGATGTGATCGCCGCGCCATTTGTCAACCGTTAATTTTTCAGGTCGCTTACACTCGTTGATCCCACCACGCTCTCTTGACCTCCCTCACCCCGTCCACATTTTCACGTTCTTTCGTTAAGTCTACTCGTCCAGGCCAGCTCGCTGAAACCATGCGGTTCGAGTCGGTCCTTCTCGTGGCCGGCCTCGCCGCTGAGGCCTTGGCTGGGACCATCCCCGGCGGCACCAGGGTCGGCCGCTCGGGCACCGCGTCCCTGAAGCAAGTGCGCAACACCAACTTTATCCGCAATGGCCCTATTCAGCTTGCGAGGATCTACAACAAGTACGGCATCGCTCTCCCGCCCGACCTGAGGGCCGCCGTCACGCGGATCCGAAGCGGCAGGTACAAGCGGACAACTGGCAGCGTCGAGACGAACCCGGAGAACAACGACGTCGAATACCTGACACCCGTCTCCATCGGCACCCCCGCGCAGGTCCTCCATCTCGACTTCGACACGGGCTCCAGCGACCTCTGGGTTTTCAGTTCCGAGACGGCCAAGAACGACGTTGACGGTCAGACGCTGTACAACCCTAACAAGAGCTCGACGGCCCAACCGCTTCAGGGTTACACTTGGCAGATCTCGTACGGCGACGGTAGCTCCTCTAGCGGAGATGTCTACACTGACACCGTGTCAGTTGGCGGCCTGTCGGTCTCGGTGCAGGCGGTTGAAGTCGCCAAGAAGGTGTCGAGCGAGTTCACCTCGGACGCCAACAACGACGGCTTGCTTGGCTTGGCCTTCAGCTTCCTCAACACCGTCGAGCCTGTCGCGCAAAAGACCTTCTTCGACAATGCCAACTCGACTCTCGACGCTCCTCTGTTTACTGCCGACCTCAAGTCGGGTGCTCGTAAGTGCTGAATGCCCATTCTGACATGAATCCTGCGACTGACTCCATGGCCCTTCGCAGCCGGCCACTTTAACTTTGGTTACATCGACTCGAGCGCCCACACAGGCAGCATCACGTACGCTCCCGTCGACAGCAGCGGCGGCTTCTGGTCCTGGACATCCCCGGGATACAAGATTGGCTCGGGCAACTTCACGCCCACCTCGGTGGCTGGCATTGCGGACACGGGTACGTCCCTGTTTCTTCTGCCCAGCCCCGTGGTTGAGGCATACTACAACGTGGTGAGCGGCGCCAAGTACGACAACTCTCAAGGCGGATACACGCTTCCGTGCACCGGCGCCGCCCCCAGCTTTTCGTTTGCCGTCAACGACGCAAACACCCTCGTCACCGTGCCCGGCGACTACATCAAGTACGCCCCGACCACCTCGAGCGGTAAGACGTGCTACGGCGGCATCCAGTCGGATTCGGGAATAGGGTTTTCGATTTTCGGCGACGTCGCTCTCAAGGCTGCCTTTGTTGTGTTTGATGGAGGAAAGGGGCAGCTGGGTTGGGCACCCAAGAAGCTGAACACCACTTCATGAACGATTTGGGAGGCGGAGGGAGAGTTTGTGTTAGGGGACGGGAGGCACAGCCAGCATTATGTTTTTGGCGCGATATACGGTCAGTTGAGTTCAGTTTGGCGCCATGTCCCTGACGGGGCAATGCAGTTTTACATTTCTGGCGTGAGGCCAAGGTTATTGCTCTTCATTAGCCCACGAGGGATTATCAACAGGAGCTTAGCAAATTGGTGACTGGGAAGCATCAGATGGATTTATCGCTGGGCTCAGATGACGCGAGCAATTAGGGACCGAACAGATTAATGCTTTAGTTGGCTGTGCTCCAAGGTATTGTGTGTGTTTCCTGATCCCGGAGTTGACAGACATCCGTCCTTGGAGCGAGAACCTCGGCGTTGAGAAACCTCGGAATAACACGGTGGATCGTGTTGCGGCCGTGATCAGTTCGATGGGAGTACGCAAGGACGGACAGCAGTTTCACAATTCGGATTGTCGTGTAAGTGGCCAATATGGCAGGGAGTCTGATTTTTTGCTCAATTGATCCAACGGGGCTGTTCTGGTGTGTTCTCGTATGTCCCGATTAGGCAAAAATGAGGTCGTGCCCGGGTTCGAACCGGGGTTGTTGGAAGGGAGGGCCGAGGCCTTCAAAATCCAAAGTGCTAACCGCTACACTACACAACCTTTGTGTGTTCAAGTTGCCCCACCCGGCGGCGAACGCAGCTGACATGTCGCTGCCGGTGGTTGAGGCGGGGGGCGGGTGAACAAAGGGGGACGCGAGCCAGAGTTGAGGGTCGGTTGTCCTGGCAGCTTTGGGAGAAATGTCGGCCCCAGTGCTGAGAGATGCGGAGGGGGTTACGTGCGCGCGAGAGATGCCGGACAATCACACGCTCTCCGGGAGCAAAATCCCCACCAAGCCCAGCTTTTTTCCAGGTAACCAACTCTCCCGAAGGCCGCAGGCAACATGTTGTGGTGAGAACCTGGCGTCCTGACGAGATCCCATTTCCGGCACAGACCAAGGCCAACGGGTGGGCCTGGAGCTACTCCGAGGCAGCATCGTCCCCATGCACTCACACTTCCCGGGCTCGGTCCAACCCCATGTCATCGGCCGTCACCTCGCCTCGGAGCCACCTGGGTATCTCCGTCCTGTAACGCCGAGTGACGCGTGCCCATGGTTCACAAAAGCAAGGTCCACAAATGACAAAACGAAGTTGTCAGAGGTCTTCCTCGTCCTCCAGCTTGGGAACCTCCACCACAAACTCTGCTTCAGTTTCATCCGCCTCGGGGTCCAGGAGTGCAAAGGCGACCGAGGACACGTCGCTGAGCTTTTTCTCGGCGAGGGTGTCGGTCGGCTGTGCGTTGAGATTCTTCCAACCCTGCGACAGGTCGTTGGAGTTCTTAGGGAGCGCGTAGGCGATCTTGACGTCGGCGTCGTCAGCTGGCAGGGGCGTCGGCTTGGTCTGGGTGAGCGTGGCGCTCAGGCCTTCGGGGTAGCGGTCGCGGAGGATCGAGAGGAGCTCGGCGTTGAGGCGGGAGAAGGGCCAGTCGAGCATGGCAAACAGGAAGATGGTGTGGATGCCGTGCTTGAGGCGGATCGAGATCTCGGGGTCTTCGAGCGTGTTGCGCGGCTGTTGAGGGGTCAGCGGGGCGGATGGGGGGGATCACGCCCAAGACGGGTCGTACCATATTTTCAATGTTTCACTATTGACGGAGTCGAAACGGAGAGAAGAGAAGCCGCGTTTCCGTCTGGTATTGTTCAGAGTCGGAGGTTGAAAGAGGAAGAAGCTCAACTCAAGGCGGGACAGGATGGCCCTGCCAAGGCCTGCCTGGAAACCCCTGCGGCCGCTAATTTTTAGTGGGGCGTGGGCTGGAGCTTGGGCCATCGTCAAGCTCTGAGCATTTTCCGGCACATGAACATTGGGCCGAAGTCTTGTGATGCGGCTCAGCTAGCAAATCGCGGACAACCTTCTCTTCCGTTTGTTGGTTGAGGCCGCCGTGCGACCCCCTCGTCTATTCAATTTTGACGACGACAACTCAAGGGCTGCCCTTGCAACGACACGATGGCCACCGCGGACGAGAAGCGTGCGCGTATGGTGCGCGAACGTCCGCCGCCCCCTACAGCCGCCGAGGTCGAGGCCGTCTACCACAACGCCCGTCTCTCCCTCCCCGCCCCCTTGCGAATCCCGATGGCATCCACCCTGTCTTTTTTCACGGGATTTACGCTGGGAACAAGCCAAGGAGGCAAGATGGCGGGCCTCCAGTTCCGGGCCGAACACGCGCACAAGCTGCCCCAGAGCACAACGGGCTGGTACCTCTACCACAAGAGCAAAAACTACCGCATGGCGTATGGTGGGATCCGCGAGGGCTTCCGCATGGGGCTGAAGCTGTCGTTCTGGACCACGGCCATGTTTGCCATCGAACAGATGTTCGACTCGTACCGCGGGACTGCCGACATTGCCAACACGGTAACCGCCTGTGTTACAGTGGCGGGGGGGTTCAGTCTATGGAGTAAGGCTTTGCCGTTCTTGCTGTCCTGCGGCACACTCTTGGAGAGTTGCTGACGCGCGCGACCGCACTGCAGATCGTTTCTCGCTGCCCATGACCGCCCGGACGACCAAAGCGGCCTTTGTCGGGGGGGTGGTGTACGGAGGGCTTCAGGATCTGCTGGCCCTCGCGAGAGGCCGCCCCGTCGGATACGTCGAATGGGCCAAACCGCGATTGGGTTTTCCACGACGAGAGGAGCCGAACATGCAGTAGGGTGAGGGACGCAGGACACAGGACACACCACCAGGGCAGCTATTACGTCGGGGGGTGTCTCGCCCCCCCCCCCCCCCCCCCACCACCGGACTGGCCGACGGCCCTTGTTCCGGGCCGGCCCTCTCTGAACCGCGCCAACCCTTCATGTCGCCCGGTGTCCAGGCCCGGGGCACGATTGGCGCCTCGGCATAATGAGTAGGTGCAAGATGCCACCCCACGCTGCTCAGCGTGGAAAGCAGGTCGCCTGACCACTGCGGCATGTCAATTGGCAGACGAGCGCCGATATCAACCGCTCGCTGGCGGCTCGCAGCTCTGATGCGGCTTCCAGGCGGGTGGTCTTGGCAGGCCCCGCTTTGAGGCATCTCGCTGGGCCTCTGTGCTCCAATGCCTGGTGTGGGGCTGCAGGCCAGCGATGCCGGCAGAGCCCGGATGCTCCACCACGACGGCTAGCTGCGGTTCTCTGATACGCGACCCGCGATAGCATCATCGAGCCCCCTCGACAGACTCGGACAAAGCTGCCGCTGGCTGGACAATGGCAATCATCCTGCCACGCACCCCTCCGGCGGATTGGTGGGCTCAGCAAATTCCGGGGCGGATGGTTTGCGATACCGGGGGCGGGGGAGAGGGGTGAATTGGCCAAAAAGCGGTTGCTGAGGAGATATATCTACTCTCAGGAGGGAAGACCTCCCCCATGATGCAGACCCAGCTTGCCACAGTCCCTGAACCCCGTATCTCGCCCATAGTTTCGTCTCATCATCCTGCCGGACCATTACCCCGCGCCATCTCGAGTTCCATTGAGCACTGTGAGCAGAGATAACGGCGGCATTGTGCTGCTGCACACGCTCCTGCCATGGCACCCTTTCTCAAGCCCTCTCCTGGAATGCTTCCGCGATGCCTCAATGCAAACACCAGACCGATTGTTGCGACTGCCGCAGCAATATTTTCTTCTCCTTCGACCTCCTACACATTATTCCCACAACCGCCCCAGCTCTGCCGGAGGACGCCAGGACGTGCATCCGCGTCGACCTCGAGCCGATCCCTTCACTCGTCATCCAACCAGTCCTCACCCTCTGGGCACCTCACATTGGGTAATGCAGTCAACCTGGTGCCTCCAACACCTCCCGACCACCAGCGTGCAAGGATGGTCCAGCCGGCGCCGCTGGCAGTCATGCCACTCACCAATGTCCTGCGGTCGCTCATGACGGCGACCGTGTCGTCCTCTCCGCTCCTGCTCCCGCCCTCGCTGGCCGTTATGTCCGTGCTGGCCCACACCACCAGCCCGGCGCTCAACCCTGACAGGAACCCGTTTCTCCGCTTTGTGCTCAAGAAGACCCTGTACGCCCAGTTCTGCGGCGGCGAGAATGCGCCCGAGGTGCGCCGGACTATCCAGTCGCTCAAGAATATTGGCTTTGGCGGAGTCATCCTGGGCTACGCCAAAGAGGTCGTCCTCACCGAGTCTCAGATGAAGGACCTCGCATCGTGCGGCTCAGGCCCCGCTGCCGAGGAGTGCATCCAAAACGAGATCATCCCCTGGGCCACCGGCACCATGGAGACGGTGCTGCTCGCCTCCCCCGGCGACTTTGTCGCTCTCAAATTCACCGGCGCCGGCCGGCAAGCCCTCCACGCCCTCTCGCAGCGCCTGTCGCCGTCCGAGGCGCTCGCGTCCGCCATGGACGACATCTGCCGGCTGGCCACGTCGCGGGGCGTCCGTCTGCTCTTTGATGCCGAGCAGCAGGCGTTGCAGCCGGGCATCGACGACTGGTCCCTCGAGTACATGCGCCGGTACAACGCGGGCGGCTCCGCCGTCGTCTACGGCACGTACCAGGCGTATCTCAAGGCGACGTGCTCGACGCTCAGCCGGCACCTGGAGGCGGCTCGCGACGGCGGGTTCGCCCTCGGCGTCAAACTCGTCCGCGGCGCCTACCTCGGCTCCGACCCGCGCCACCTCATCCACAACACCAAGGCCGACACGGACGTGGCGTACGACGGCGCCGCCGAGGCGATCCTGCGCCGGCGGTGGAACGCGCAGCTCCGGCCCGAGAAGACCGAGGGCACCGCGGCATTCCCCAGCGTCGGCCTCGTCCTGGCCACGCACAACCGCGAGTCGGTCCTCAAGGCGCAGGCGATCCTCTCCGAGGGCGCGGCGGCCGCCGACGTGGCGTTTGCGCAGCTGCAGGGCATGGCGGACGAGGTCAGCTGCGAGCTGGTGGCGCGCAACGGTGCCGGCGCCGGCGACAAACCCCGCGCCTACAAGTACCTGGTCTGGGGATCGACGGGGGAGTGCATGAAGTACCTGCTGCGGAGGGCGCAGGAGAATCGGGATGCGGTGCAGCGGACGCGGGCCGGACGGGATGCCATGCGCACGGAGCTGGTGAGGAGGATCAAGAGCATGTTTGGGCTTGCGAAGTGAGAGGGTGGAGGGAGAGGACGGCGTTTCGGAGGGATGGGTTCTGATGAATTTGATGCGATTATGACAGCGATGACTTTCACATGACAATTCCAGTATTTAGCGAGCGTATTTACTCAACCGGTTTACACACTCGGAAACCAACTCTTGTGATCTTAGTTGGGTCACAATCCACGTGGTGGTGGGACGAGGGAGCCGCCTGGGCTAAATGCTGAATGTCGGCGGACCCGTGTGCCACGGCCAAACACCATCCCGCAGCGCCGCCCGCCTCTGTGCGGGTTCTATTGTATGTGACACCTTCAGCCCTATTTGGGCGAGGAGATGCCTGCTCCAGCCGCCTCTGGTTCAAGGATGGATGCCAACCAGAAGGGATGTGGAGCCGTTGCTACGAAGGCCGTTCTGGATGCCTACATCTCCCATCATGGGAGCTCGTATTCGGCGTGTCCGCACACTCCACCGCGCAGTGTTCTCGTCATGCACCTGAATTTCCCCTTTACTCTCCCCCTCACAGCCCCCGCAA